TTGTAGTGTACTTCAAATCCTTAAAGGTACAAAGGTAATAAAATATCCAAAAATCGCTTGCACAGTGTGATATATATCCTGCAGTTGTGTATTTACAATATCCCAAAAGTCTCCAAAGATTTTTTATTTCAGAGAAATTCCAATTTTAAATAAGTGGCCGTCCCGTAAAAAAATGTCGCCTGTCAATGACGCAATATCCGCTATCCTCGGTTTCCGCTCGTACTGCCATAGCCATGACGTAACCATGGCGACAGACGTGGACAACTGCGCAGTGCGTAACGTTTAGCGGCACGCAGTTCTCGTTTCTTTCACACATAGACCATGGCAAGCAGACTTTGTGACAAACAAGGAGAACTAAAATGAGGATCAATATCAGCGTGGCGTTTTTGAGATGCCGAGAGCTAGCGTCCGCGGCTAACTTGGACTCGACAGAGCTTCACGAGTCACGACAGCTTTATTAGACAGGTGAGCAAATGTACATAAAACAAATCAATGTTATATAACGTTAGCTCAAAATGATGAAATGTTAGAATATGGTCAGTATATTATTCTAATGTTGATCTAGCTCACTGCTAGTTTCGTATAGCAAACGAACTAACACGTAGTATAACATTATAACTTTCAACACACATTTAAATGCCGTTTAGTGTGATAGTGTAACGTTAGACCGAGTGAAGCAGCGCTGCGTTCCCTCACAAGTTTAATTCGTCTAATAAACTGACCTGTGTGAGTAATCCAGCACTCGCGGTAGTTCGGTAGAATTAAATGTCCTTATTCCTTTATATCCGCGGGACTCGCGTGTGATATCTGTCTCTTTAGCAATCGCGACCTGCTTCATACCACTGTAATGTTAAAAAACATGAATGTTTGCACTCATCCATAAACATTATTAGATCCATCAGCTTGACAGCAAGTCCCATCATTCAGCTCATCACTGCGTCATCAACCTACGCCTGTTTTATTGTTGGAAACTGCGCCCTCTTGTGGCGAAAAAAACCTACATATTGTGCCTTTAAAGTCAGCATGAAATCAAATTTGACAAATCATCTTTTAAATGTAATATTGTAGTGTTTATTATAAATGATTTATCTGTGCACTTCATTATTTTTTTTAAATTCATGTACCCTTATAATCTTTAATCAAATACATTACCCTTCCCTCCCCCCTCGAAACGACTTCTCTTTCGGTCACGTGCAATGGCGAAAGGGTGTGGCCAGAGCTATCAGCCTCTCAGAGAACCTGTCAGTGTCAGCGCCCAACCTCCAACGATCCAATCAATTCCCGAAGGACGAAATCAAGCCCCGCCCTACATTTTTTTCTAATTTCAGAAGCCGTTTCACTCGGATATACGTCACAACAAGGAAAAAATGACAATCTCAACTTCCCTTTCATGCCGACTTTAAACTATATATTAAAAAATATATATACTTGCAGATAATATAGTATTAATGAAATAAAAGGCCACTTAAAGGGCACCTATTATGCCCCTTTTTAAGTCTCAGTGTCCCCAGAATGTGTGTGTGAAGTTTCAGCTCAAAATACCCCCCAGATCAGTTATTATATAATGTTGTAAATGGCCATTTTTGAGTGGAAGGAAAAACATGCTGTTTCCTGCATGTATCTTTAAATGCAAATGAGCTGCTGCTCCGCCCCCTTTCCAGAAGAGGGCGGAGCCTGTACAGCTCGTGCCTCAGATCTTGTGACATTGCAGTTCTTTATCATCATCATGAAAGTTTATTATCTGCATGTGTTTTAAAGTCCCCCTATCATGGTTTTTCGAATATTCCCTTTCATGCAGTGTGTGATATTGCTGTTTGTGGATGTAAACGTTCTGCAAAGTTGTAAAGTGGAAAGTGCACGATAAATAAAGCTATTGTCTCCCAAAAGAAAGAATCGACTTTGTACCGCCTTCACGAGTCGTTTGTGTTTCGAATCCCAACGCTTTACGGTTCTACATCACTAGAAGATACATTTGCATAATACCCGCCTATGTTGTACATTATCAGCCCTGAAACGTCATTTTACTGACGACTGTTTCGCCAATCTCTTTGAGTTCTACGCGAGATTCGCTAAACGCTGGCTCTAGAAAGACGGGTCAGTGCTCAGTTTATTTGGACCAACTCGCTCCTCAGAATCACAACCTGTATTAATTATTGATGTACATATTTTCTACCGAGAGTTCAAAATAGTTTTGTGTTGTATATTGTGTAGGTCTCCGGCTAACTCACGTTATCACTGTCTTCCTGAAACACTTCTGCTGATCAGCCGTGGTCGATCACTATTACCTATAACTGTGTCTATTAGTGCAGATCGTCTGTCGTTCTCACTACTTTGAGGAAAGATAAATGATGGAGCAAGATTTGTTTTACAAACTTTAATGTTTCATCAGGCATTCACGCTAGAGCTGGGAGAAACACACTGTTATTGATACAGTTCCTGAATGTTCACTGCAATAAATTAGAAATGTAATCAGTTTGTTGATGGACACACACTTGTTAATGCTGATGGTGAGGAATTACAGTTGCAACATCTCATAATGTTCCTCAAACTGAGTGGTGTATCACTGAGAAACACTGAGTCCTTCTCGAGTCATCCTCGTGATGGAGGTTCAGGTTGAATAACTAGTTCTTCCAATGTTTCATTATCGGACTCACCTCTGGAGCTGAAGTTCAGTTATGGTAATTGGCATATAGCTTCTGACTTAGACCAATCACAACAGACTGGCCATCTGGCCAATCAGAGCAGAGTATCTCTCAGAAAAGAGGGATTTAGTGAGACTGATTCATCCATCGAGTTGTTTGAGAATCATTGAAAAATGTGGTGATGTTCAATATATATTATGAGAAAATGAAAGTGTTTTTTTACCTTTGATGCATGTACACCTGTTGTAGGAGACTCCAAAACAACATTAGGAGCCTTTAAAATAGCACAATAGCGGCAATTTAAAGCCATATCAGTCTAAACTTCTGATATATGGTTTTCTGAGCGCACCACACACCCGAATAACGCGCACAGAAAGCTGGGTGTCAGACGGAGCGACCCGTGAGTAAACAGAAGGGCGGAGTCTGTCAGCATTCATGGGCGGGGTCTATGCTAATAGGGAGGGGTCCGTCAGCAGTCATTGGCGGGGTCTATGCTAATCGGGTGGGGTCCGTCAGCACTCATGGGCGGGGTCTATGTTAATAGGGCGGGGTCCGTCAGGAGTCATGGGCGGGGTCTATGTTAATAGGGCGGGGTCCGTCAGAAGTCATGGGCGGGGTCTATGTTAATAGGGCGGGGTCCGTCAGCAGTCATGGTCGGGGTCTATGTTAATAGGGCGGGGTCCGTCAGCAGTCATGGGCGGGGTCTATGTTAATAGGGCGGGGTCCGTCAGCAGTCATGGGCGGGGTCTATGTTAATAGGGCGGGGTCCGTCAGCAGTCATGGGCGGGGTCTATGTTAATAGGGCGGGGTCCGTCAGCAGTCATGGTCGGGGTCTATGTTAATAGGGCGGGGTCCGTCAGCAGTCATGGGCGGGGTCTATGTTAATAGGGCGGGGTCCGTCAGCAGTCATGGGCATGGGCTGTCCACTGTTTATTATTTATGGTGATTAAAGGAGTGGGTGGATTTTTACCATTATAGGGGGGTTGTGTACACACCCTGCCAACACACATTTAGTGAATCTTAAATCATCATTTATTAATTTAGGGGCTGTTTACGACAACTGAAAACAGAAAACTTTTAATGCGTTCATTTACACGACAACAGTGTTGTCGTATAAAGCCCAGCACAACTTCCAATATGTTATTAGCAGAGTAAGTATTCTTCAGTAAAGTATGGTAAGCGCCCGCTTTAGATCTGCACTCATTGAGTTCTGTGACACTAACAGCACATTCAGATCCTTTCATTGTGTTTTACAACATCTCTCAGTTAGCTGTCTTTTTAAATTGACCAGGACGAGAGCTGAGACGTGAACTTTAAACATCAGATGCGTCAATATCCCGCGTTCGCTGCTCCACGGTTCAGACACTTCTGCTCCTCGCACCGGTGAGTTATTAGTTATTAGTTACGCTCTCGATACTGCGCCGATGCCTCTCTGATTTCATATGATGTTTATGTGGTATATTCATTTTGCATGAGAGATTGCCACAGGGGAAACAGCTAAAGAAATCTAATTCCTGTTGATCAACTTCCATTTTTGGAAGAGTTCATGAATGAGATCAACAAATAAAGCCGAACTGCAGGATCAGCCACACATGTGTGTTCATGAGTTCATTACCGTAACTCGTCACTAACACGACTGTCAGACTGTTCACAAAGCAAAGAAAGGGTTACGCTTCAGCTCCATGGCCATCGGCAGGCGTTTCACTCACTATAACTGTGCTATGACTACTAACTCTCATTTGAGGATCAGTAGACTGGTAGATCAGGGTTCAGGTTAGTAGAATAAATTAATATGAACCAAAGTTACTTGCGGAGCATCAAAATAAAGTGTTGACAAAGACAGACACAGATCTTCTGTCAGTGGGAGCAACCCTTACGTTCATGAGTTAATATTGATCTGATTGAATTGATTGAAGTAATTACAGCTGGATCATGCAGTCAGATTCCTAAAATGAAATACTTGTAATTACATTTACCTTTTAAAATACTCATAATCAGATTAGAGTTACTTACAGGATTAATTATTGTTCAGAGAATGGCAGTAGAATCAAAGCGAAAGGTCTCGAGGTTTTGTTGGCTTTTGAGGATCATAGAGTTGACTGATGAACCGTTGGACAGACTCTCAATAAAGAGGACCTTAGTGAGCACAGGCTCTGTTGATTTCCAGAGTTGTTTAGTTGTGTGTGTTCAGTATAGTCAGATAGCATGTTAATATGTAAGCCATTAGAAGAAGGCCGAACGCTGTTGAGGTCTAGATAAACTCTGTGTTGTGTCACTGTGACTTTGTGTTATCTTTACATCAGCTTGTGTTCATATAGTGTCTGTGTGTCTGTGTGTGTGTGTGTGTGTGTGTGTCAGAGCTCAGCTCCACTCTGATGGAGAAGATGCAATCTCGGGATCTTCTGCTGGGTCTTCATCTGCCGGAGCTGGAGGATCTGGGTGAGTTTATCCGTTCTCTGCCCACCTCGACTCTGCTGGGTCTGGGTGCGCTCACTGCGGTTCTGGCCTACTGGATCTCCCATCGCCCGCGAGCCATCGTCCCACCCTGCGACCTGCGGCATCAGTCCAGAGAAGAGCAGGTACAGGACTATACACGATCCCCTATACACTCTACACACCTCCTGATCCCCTATACGCTCTACACACCTCCTGATCCCCTATACACTCTACACACCTCCTGATCCCCTATACGCTCTACACACCTCCTGATCCCCCATACGCTCTACACACCTCCTGATCCCCTATACACTCTACACACCTCCTGATTCCCTATACACACTCTACACACCTCCTGATCCCCTATACGCTCTACACACCTCCTGATCCCCTATACACGCTCTACACACCTCCTGATCCCCTATACACGCTCTACACACCTCCTGATCCCCTATACGCTCTACACATCTCCTGTTCCCCTATACACGCTCTACACATCTCCTGATCCCCTATACACGCTCTACACACCTCCTGATCCCCTATACACGCTCTACACACCTCCTGATCCCCTATACACGCTCTACACACCTCCTGATCCCCTACACGCTCTACACACCTCCTGATCCCCTATACACGCTCTACACACCTCCTGATCCCCTATACACGCTCTACACACCCCCTGATCCCCTACACGCTCTACACACCTCCTGATCCCCTAAACACGCTCTACACACCTCCTGATCCCCTATAAACTCTACACACCTCCTGATCCCCTATACATGCTCTACACACCTCCTGATCCCCTATACACTCTACACACCTCCTGATCCCCTATACACGCTCTACAGACCTCCTGATCCCCTACACGCTCTACACACCTCCTGATCCCCTATACACACCTCCTGATCCCCTAAACATGCTCTACACACCTCCTGATCCCCTATACACTGTACACACCTCCTGATCCCCTATACACGCTCTACACACCTCCTGATCCCCTATACACGCTCTACACACCTCCTGATCCCCTATACACTCTACACACCTCCTGATCCCCTATACACACTCTACACACCTCCTGATCCTCTACACACCTCCTGACCCCTATACACGCTCTACACACCTCCTGATCCCCTAAACACGCTCTACACACCTCCTGATCCCCTATACACTGTACACACCTCCTGATCCCCTATACACGCTCTACACACCTCCTGATCCCCTATACGCTCTACACACCTCCTGATTCCCTATACACACTCTACACACCTCCTGATCCCCTATATGCTCTACACACCTCCTGATCCCCTATACACGCTCTACACACCTCCTGATCCCCTATACACTCTACACACCTCCTGATCCCCTATACACACTCTACACACCTCCTGATCCCCTATACGCTCTACACACCTCCTGATCCCCTATACGCTCTACACACCTCCTGATCCCCTATACACGCTCTACACACCTCCCGATCCCCTATACACTCTACACACCTCCTGATCCCCTATACATGCTCTACACACCTCCTGATCCCCTATATGCTCTACACACCTCCTGATCCCCTATACACGCTCTACACACCTCCTGATCCCCTATACACTCTACACACCTCCTGATCCCCTATACATGCTCTACACACCTCCTGATCCCCTATACACGCTCTACACACCTCCTGATCCCCTATACACGCTCTACACACCTCCTGATCCCCTATACACTCTACACACCTCCTGATCCCCTATACATGCTCTACACACCTCCTGATCCCCTATACACGCTCTACACACATCCTGATCCCCTATACACTCTACACACCTCCTGATCCCCTATACACGCTCTACACACCTCCTGATCCCCTATACACTCTACACACCTCCTGATCCCCTATACACTCTACAGATCTCCTGATCCCCTATACACGCTCTACACACCTCCTGATCCCCTATACGCTCTACACACCTCCTGATCCCCTATACACGGTCTACACACCTCCTGATCCCCTATACACTCTACACACCTCCTGATCACCTATACGCTCTACACACCTCCTGATCCCCTATACACGGTCTACACACCTCCTGATCCCCTATACACTCTGTACACCTCCTGATCCCCTATACGCTCTACAGAGCTCCTGATCCCCTATACACGCTCTACACACCTCCTGATCCCCTATACACGCTCTACACATCTCCTAATCCCCTATACGCTCTACACACCTCCTGATCCCCTATACACGCTCTACACACCTCCTGATCCCCTATACACGCTCTACACACCTCCTGATCCCCTATACGCTCTACACACCTCCTGATCCCCTATACACGGTCTACACACCTCCTGATCCCCTATACACTCTACACACCTCCTGATCCCCTATACACGCTCTACACACCTCCTGATCCCCTATACACTCTACACGCCTCCTGATCCCCTATACACTCTACAGATCTCCTGATCCCCTATACACGCTCTACACACCTCCTGATCCCCTATACACGGTCTACACATCTCCTGATCCCCTATACGCTCTACACACCTCCTGATCCCCTATACACGCTCTACACACCTCCTGATTCCCTATACACTCTACACACCTCCTGATCCCCTATACACGCTCTACACACCTCCTGATCCCCTATATGCTCTACACACCTCCTGATCCCCTATACACGCTCTACACATCTCCTGATCCCCTATACACGCTCTACACACCTCCTGATCCCCTATACACACTCTACACACCTCCTGATCCCCTATACACTCTACACACCTCCTGATCCCCTATACACGCTCTACACACCTCCTGATCCCCTATACACTCTACACACCTCCTGATCCCCTATACACTCTACAGATCTCCTGATCCCCTATACACGCTCTACACACCTCCTGATCCCCTATACACGCTCTACACATCTCCTGATTCCCTATACGTTCTACACACCTCCTGATCCCCTATACACGCTCTACACACCTCCTGATCCCCTATACACTCTACACACCTCCTGATCCCCTATACACGCTCTACACACCTCCTGATCCCCTATATGCTCTAAACACCTCCTGATCCCCTATACACGCTCTACACATCTCCTGATCCCCTATACGCTCTACACACCTCCTGATCCCCTATACGCTCTACACATCTCCTGATCCCCTATACACGCTCTACACATCTCCTGATCCCCTATACGCTCTACACATCTCCTGATCCCCTGTACGCTCTACACACCTCCTGATCCCCTATACACTCTACACACCTCCTGATCCCCTATACACTCTACACACATCCTGATCCCCTATACATGCTCTACACACCTCCTGATCCCTTTTACACTCTACACACCTCCTGATCCCCTATACACGCTCTACACATCTCCTGATCCCCTATACGCTCTACACACCTCCTGATCCCCTATACATGCTCTACACACCTCCTGATCCCCTATACGCTCTGCACACCTCCTGATCCCCTATACGCTCTACACACCTCCTGATCCCCTACACGCTCTACACACCTCCTGATCCCCTATACACGCTCTACACACCTCCTGATCCCCTATACACGCTCTACACACCTCCTGATCCCCTATACACGCTCTACACACCTCCTTATCCCCTATACACTCTACACACCTCCTGATCCCCTATACACTCTACACACCTCCTGATCCCCTATACACTCTACACACCTCCTGATCCCCTATACACTCTACACACCTCCTGATCCCCTATACACGCTCTACACACCTCCTGATCCCCTATATGCTCTACACACCTCCTGATCCCCTATACACGCTCTACACATCTCCTGATCCCCTATACGCTCTACACACCTCCTGATCCCCTATACCCTCTACACATCTCCTGATCCCCTATACACGCTCTACACATCTCCTGATCCCCTATACGCTCTACATATCTCCTGATCCCCTATACGCTCTACACACCTCCTGATCCCCTATATGCTCTACATATCTCCTGATCCCCTATACACGCTCTACACACCTCCTGATCCCCTATACACTCTACACACCTCCTGATCCCCTATACACTCTACACACATCCTGATCCCCTATACACGCTCTACACACCTCCTGATCCCCTATACACGCTCTACACACCTCCTGATCCCCTATACACGCTCTACACACCTCCTGATCCCCTATACACTCTACACACCTCCTGATCCCCTATACACGCTCTACACACCTCCTGATCCCCTATACACGCTCTACACACCTCCTGATCCCCTTTACACGCTACACACCTCTACACACCTCCTGATCCCCTATACACGCTCTACACACCTCCTGATCCCCTATACACGGTCTACACACCTCCTGATCCCCTATACACTCTACACACCTCCTGATCCCCTATACACGCTCTACACACCTCCTGATCCCCTATACACGCTTTACACACCTCCTGATCCCCTATACACTCTACAGATCTCCTGATCCTCTATACACGCTCTACACACCTCCTGATCCCCTATACACGCTCTACACATCTCCTGATCCCCTATACGTTCTACACACCTCCTGATCCCCTATACACGCTCTACACACCTCCTGATCCCCTATACACTCTACACACCTCCTGATCCCCTATACACTCTACAGATCTCCTGATCCCCTATACACGCTCTACACACCTCCTGATCCCCTATACACGCTCTACACATCTCCTGATCCCCTATACGTTCTACACACCTCCTGATCCCCTATACACGCTCTACACACCTCCTGATCCCCTATACACTCTACACACCTCCTGATCCCCTATACACGCTCTACACACCTCCTGATCCCCTATATGCTCTACACACCTCCTGATCCCCTATACACGCTCTACACATCTCCTGATCCCCTATACACGCTCTACACACCTCCTGATCCCCTATACACGCTCTACACATCTCCTGATCCCCTATACGCTCTACACACCTTCTGATCCCCTATACACGCTCTACACACCTCCTGATCCCCTATATGCTCTACACACCTCCTGATCCCCTATACACGCTCTACACATCTCCTGATCCCCTATACGCTCTACACACCTCCTGATCCCCTATACGCTCTACACATCTCCTGATCCCCTATACACTCTACACACCTCCTGATCC